ACACACACACACACACACACACACACACACACACACGGTAAGTGTGTTCGATTCGTGAACGAATAGTTCTTATGAGTCGAATCTTTCCTATGAATCAGTTGAACCAGTTCACAAAACCGATCTGAATGATTAGTTAACGAATAAATAATGAAAAAATATTACAAATAAAACAGTGAATAGTCTAATAAACAGTGCCTACTATGTTCCTTCATAAGCCTTCTTAAAAAGTTTATAACGTGTAATATTCCATGCGACAACGTAATGGCATAATAATGTAATGTAATGAATAATTACATGTAATCTGGATTACGTAAATCAGATTCCAAAAATGGAGTACTCTGAAGTGGATCAGCCTATATTACACTTTAAAATGCTCATTATCAGATTAGTTGCTTTTTTAAGGAATACAGAATCACATATTATTCATAAAATGGCAGTAAATTATTCCTAATTTATTGATTCTCTCTAATTCTTCCTTTTTCTCTTTTAAAGTTGTGTGTCGTACCATTTAGCTTTGACTATATTCATAATATAGAATGGCCATGTAAATGTCATGTAAATAAATTTGCAAGCCATGCTTCTATATTTGGGGGGAAGCACCTCTCAAGCAATTATAGACCATGTATGAGACAAATAATTATGCTAATTAAGTTAATAAACATTGGTGATGTAAAACACACACTATAATAGAATAGAATAGAATAGAATAGAACAGAATAGAAAAATAGTCTATAGTGTAAAAATATTTTAAAAGTAGGCTATAGTAAAGTGTCACGCCCATGGACTGTTTTAAAGAAAATGTTTTTATATTTATTATTTTGATTTCATATGACCAAGTGATTTTGTAAGGAAAATCGAAAGGCTATTCACTGTACAAATATAGGCTATAGTCTATAGTATAAACATACAATAAAATATAAATATAAACATAGGCTAAAGTGTAAAATATAATATAAATGCATAATATAAAAACATTCTGTATAAAAATAAATGCTATAGTACAAAAAAAAAAAAAACTTTTATTTATTAAGCCAAAGTAATTTTATAAGGCAAATTGCAAGGCTGTTCACCTGTACCAGACTGTGCATAATGAAAAGGCCCAAAATATGAGTTGCAGAGGCAATCATGGGATGAAGAGTAATAACGGGGGTAAATTATGACAGCATTATGACAGCACTGAAGAACACATTGTTGACTGAGATGAAGAAAGACAGATGACTCAGCAGTCCCCGTAATAAAGGCCTTGCTGTGGTTGGACTATACTTTGTGGATATAATGTCTGTAGTAGTACGTTCATTATATTCCAAACAAGAAACAAGTCAGACAAAACACGTCAGGCATTCAAACGCTGCTGACTCAGTCCTCATTTAAATATTCAATAACAAACGAAAAGATGTCATATGAACCATCACATCTGATTTCTTAGGACAACATTTCGGAAAGCTTCATGTGCAGCAGCGTCAGTGTTTTTGGTGAAGTTGTTGGCTAGGGTTATATGTTTTGAGTTTTGTTAATTAGTGGCTTCCTCTTGCAGGATGACATAGTACGTATAGCAAGTCCTAACAGTATGGACACACCTTCAGCATGATGGTATATAACGCAGAAGACATGCTTCAGTTTCATCCGCACGGCACTCCAAACACTCACACTTCCTGCAGAGCCTCTGCAGCAACATGTTCGGTAAGTCTGGAAAGAACCACACATTTGTTTTGGACCTACTATTATAAACAAGTTCATTTGTTTGAATATTTATCTGAAATATTTGGTTACAAATATTTATTTCAATTGAATTGCTGAAGCGAAAATATAACCTAAATTCATTAGTTTGTTTGTACAATTAAATCAGTGAATCAAAAAAAACTAAAACAAAACAAAACTCAAACTTTCAGGTTATCAAAACATTGATTTAAACTGCACCAAAACACTCTATTTATTTATTTATTTATTTTGTGCTCAATATTTTTATTTATTCATTTGTTTACTTATTTATTTTTGTAAAAGTGAATCAGTCTCAGAATAAGAACTTAAACTTTCAGGTTAGGTGATATAACCATAGCAAATAACCATATTTTCGTTTTGGACTTTCTTTAAATATTATAAACAAATTCAGTTATTTAAATCATAGGTCTTCAACCCTGCTCCTGGGCACCCACTGTCCTGCAAAGTTTACTTCCCACCTGCTTCAGCACACCTGGCCTGCACTTTTCAAGTGATCCTGAAGACCTCGATTAGCTGGTTCAGGTGTGTTTGATTAGGGTTGGAGCTGAACTTTGCAGGGCAGTGGATCCCCAGGAACAGGGTTGAAGACCTGTAATTTAAATATTTATGTTAAATATTTAGTAACCTAAATTGTGCTCATTTTATTTATTTAATGTGTTTTGTATAGGGATATATCAAGCGCACTGGGTGGTGCTGTCGGGTAGAGCGGCAGTGTTTGCTCTCCTGATGTGGGGACCTCTGCAGGTGGCAGCAGATTCAGAAGAGGAGGCCGCTTCAGAGTGGGGCATGTGGAAAAATCTCCATGGAATATCCTATGATGATGAGGTCGATTACAATCTGGGTGTGTCTTAAAGGGACAGTACACCCAAAAATGAAAATTTGTTCATCATTCACTCATGTTTCTGTTAAGTGGAACACAACAGGAAACATTACGAAGACACATAAAAAAACTCAAATGATCTTTTATTAACTTCTTTTAAAACTAAAAGTTTTATTTACCACGAAAGAAAACACTTTTTAGGCCATAACATGTTTTTTTTTTCAGTGAAAGATGCCTTTTTAAAATTGTTTTCTATTGGCTGTGAGCATTTTGTGCGCTGTTTATGCGTCCCGGGCACCTCGCGTTTTAGCCGCCTGCTGTGCCTCACGCTTTTGTAGAAGTGCTCTGAGTGCCTGAAGTTGAAAAAAAATCAACTCTGAGCAGAAAAGTGTCTGACATCATTCGCCTTTTTTTTCCATTGTCCAATCAAATGAATGGAGAGGCGGGCCTTCCATTGTAGTGACAGAAGTTTACAGTTGCTTGGAACGTCTGGAGACTGCAATGATGGAGGAGAAACTTCTGTTACCCAGAGCTGTATTTTTTTTTAAGTTTCTGCTAATATGACAGGTTACTTAACAGCAAACCAAAGATTTTAGAGTGTTCGCGCTATAATCCTTGATTAGACTGACAAGACAGCTGATTCTGTGGTTGCCTAGCAACATAAAAAACGCACGCACTGCTCTTTTCTAAATTAAAAAAAGTAAACCAAACAAAAGGCAGTGCGGTGCGCCTCGCATTTTCAAAACTGAAAAATACGCTCTGTATGATCAGGGCCTTACAGTGCATGAGGTAAAAAAAGAGAGTAAAATATCCAGAATTTTCATTTTTGGTGAACTGTTCCTTTAAAAACTCATATAAATGAAAGGTTTGAGCCACTGTTGTGCTCTTGAGACATTTTAGTAGTTTTAATCAGTTTGTGGTTGTTAAGATGATTATGTTATACTGTCTGTATGTTATGCCTTGTATTTTTGTTAGTATTTCTCATGAAGTTTGACTTTATAACTGTAGAGTGATGACCTTCAGAGACAAATCATCTGGGAGACCAACATGCAAATGATTGAGAAAAACAACGACAATTTCCGCTTCGGATTGTCGACATTTAGCATGGCAATGAACAAATATGGTGATCTCGTAAGTAAAATGATAAAAAATATACACTTTTGAAATCATAAACAATGACAAACTTTTGTATTAGCTTTGTTAAAGGTGGACTTACACTGACACCTAGTGGTGTGGATGTAACATCCCACAAAAAATTTTTTTTTGAAAATTGAAATTTTCTGGTCTAAGGTTATTCTTTATCTAATGTCTCTCATCTTCAGACCAAGATGGAGTATAAACGCTTGCTGGGCGCCACAATTAATGCCCCGATAAACAGGAGAGGAAAGACTGTATCCGCGCAAACGCTCCGTGCCAATGCTAACAGACTGGGATTGACCAATGTGGACTATCGAGCACAAGGATATGTGACTGAAATCAAAGATCAGGTGGGTTTCTCTTTAATTAATCATCATTGATATGCTTATTTTTATTCCCAAGTGTCATACATGTACTGTTGAAAATGATTATACTGCATGTTAGATGCTAAAATGATTGATTTGTCATGTCTTTTCAGGGATACTGTGGGTCTTGCTGGGCCTTTAGCACTACAGGAGCCATTGAAGGACAAATGTTCAAGAAGACAGGACGGTTGGTGTCCCTCAGCGAGCAGCAGCTGGTGGACTGTTCCAGGTCTTACGGCACATATGGCTGCAGTGGTGCCTGGATGGCGAATGCCTATGATTATGTGATTCATAGAGGGTTGGAGAGCTCTGACACTTACCCCTATACGTCAGTGGTGAGTGGTCTTGGTCATTTGATTTTTTCTTCTTCTCGTGATTCGGCCAATCTGAATGTGCGTTTTTTGGTTCTGTTTTTTTCAGGATACTCAGCCCTGTTTCTATGACAGAAGTTTAGTTGCCGCCAGAATCAGTGACTACAGGTTCATCCCGGCCGGAGATGAACAGGCTCTGGGTGATGCCGTGGCAACCATCGGTCCGATCACTGTCGCCATAGATGCCGATCATCCAAGTTTCCTCTTCTACAGTTCAGGTAAGATTTCACTACTATTGATTCTATTAAAAAAATAAAAAGTAAAGTAAACATTCTAATATTATAAATAATATTACATAATGATTGTAAAAGTCAATGAGCGTAAGAATAAGAACAAAAAAATTATTAATAATTTAATAATAATTTATGTTAACTATTTTTTGTTTTCAACTATTATATTAACTATGCATTTCTTTTTATATAAAATTATAGGTGTTAATACACAAATATAACTATTAATTTATATCTTAATATTTATTTAATTTTTAATAAAGTATTATTAATAATTTATATGTAATATAAAATATGTATTACTATTAAATATATTTGTAGTATATATATATTTTATATATTTAATGTTTTCATAAAATGTATAAAAAGAAACATATAAAAATAAAAAAAGTAGTTGCATTCTAGGTGTCTGATCGTGTCTTTTTCTTTCTTTTCTCAGTTGGGGAACAGGATGGGGTGAAGGAGGCTACATGCGAATGATCCGCAATGGTAGAAACACTTGCGGGATCGCCAGCTATGGTCTTTATCCCATTGTGTGAGAAGAACCAGACATTTCCAAATAAAGACTTATGAAGTCTGAACTTTGTGTCAGAATCAGTTTATTTAGTCAGTGGGTTTGTAAAATAGGGCACTAGAACAACTATTACACTATGGAGCTGTACTTCAGTCCTGCAATAGAAAATTAGTGTTTGCAGTTTTTGCAGTCCATTTTAACTTCTCCCACTGTGCAAACTTGCATGCGGTTTTCACTGCATACCCAGGTGTGTTTGAGATTACAAGACTTTTGTTCTCACAATATAGGCTACTAATAGAGACGAGGTCATGTGCTTAAATGTTGTGTCTAGTTGAGTGTGTAGATTAACATGTGCTGTCAACGACAGGTTTGGTGCTATTGTTGTGCAGTGTTTTGGAAACCGTATTTAATAAATTAATTTCATACATGATAAATGTGCTCAAAAGTGTTTTAAAAATAAAACACAAAAGGTTACAAACATTTTTACATTTTTAAAATTTAAAAAAAGAAAATATTTCAACAAATAAATAAATGAAATAAAATGTTTAAAAAATAAATAAATTAATTAATATAATAAAATTAGCCATTGTTAGTTCTGAGACATAAAAAGTTAATTATTTATTAAGTTCCTTAAAGGGGTCATATGATGCGATTTCAATTTTTCCTTTCTCTTTGGAGTGTTACAAGCTTCAAGCAAGAAGATCTGTAAAGTTGACCTACAAATTTATTTGCCTCTGACTAAGAAAACAAACTTTACCATTTTTTCTAATTAAAGTAGATTATAAATGATAATTGTTACAACAAATGTGAGGTTTCATTCATTTCAGTGTCCATGCGGAGGAAAACTATCGAGCTAAGAGTGGACGAAGTGTCCTCACGGGTGAGACAAAAGTCTGTATACCTTCCTCCATCGCATGAAACGATCTACATCGGTGGCATTTCAGGTAAAGCCAGCTTTGATGTAACAAAAATGCTTATTTTCTTGCATGAAAGGCATAATCATTTACATTTCTGTCTTTGTTAATGCAGAGAATCAAAGCGAAGAAGTGGAGATGCGGGCATCTTATGTGGGGTGTTTGCGAACGTGCAGCTTAATCAAAATCCTCACATCTGATGACGTGACAAGCATATTCGGCCCTATAAATACTGACGAGTGCCTGGCGGAATAATGGAAACAGAAATCAAGCACAGCTCAGCCGGCTAATTTCGGAGTTAAACAGTTTGCAAAATACAAATTGTGATTGTTTTGGTATAATTGTATTGGAAAATGACATTTAAAAATAGACTTGCACAAATGTAACACGCCCCTTACTGCTGATTGGCAGCGAGTGTGTTGTGGGACTCGGTCCGACACTGTGGTCAAAAGCGTTTTTCAAAAATCACTTAGTGCACCTTTAATATACTTGCGTTAAGTACCTTTCAGGCCTGTTTCTGGGCGTTAATTTTATTATTATGTTCAATATCACATACAGTATGGAATCTGTGTGGATTATGCTTCATTAGGTGGTGTTAAAAGCATATGACGGAGAGCGCCGCCATGGCACCGCATTGACCCTAACACGACCCCTCTGCGATGCATTTCACTATGTGACAGGTACTATTTTTGTTATGTATCCGGTCCATGAACTTCCGTCTGCTAGCCATCAGAGGTCACCCTTTCCATTTTCATTGACTCTCGCACGACACACTGTTGCATATCACCCCGGACTACATATCCCATCATTCATTGCACTGATTGCACACAGCACTGATTGCACACAGCTGTTTCATATCACTCACTCACTATTTAACACTCACTCGGATCCCTTCCCGGTGCCGAGTATTGCCTGGCGGAATAATGGAAACAGAAATCAAGCACAGCTCAGCCGGCTAATTTCGGAGTTAAACAGTTTGCAAAATACAAATTGTGATTGTTTTGGTATAATTGTATTGGAAAATGACATTAAAAATAGACTTGCACAAATGTACAAAATGAAAGCACATTTCCTCAATTGTTAGAATCAATGTTAACGAAAGCTCGAATGTACAAATGTGTATGGAAATGAATAAAAATCTATCTGTGCTTTAAAAGTTGTCATTCTTGGCATCTGAATGGCTTCTCCTTGTGGCTCATAGTTGTATTTACACAGCTGGTGTGTGTGCTGTGACTTGCACCACAGAAGGACGTTCAGGGCATAAAGACTGAGATGTCTGTCTGCACTTTCATCATTTATTCATAACGTGCATTAATGTGTGTATAACATGTACTTCCTCATTCAGGCCATGCAGAAAGCTTTCTTCCTTATTTCTTTCTGTCAGGAACTGCTTTCTGTCTTGTGTTATACACGTGAATGCGGTGAATATGTAATTATTGTACTTATTGGAAGCCTCATGATTAACAGAATTGGGTTGAATTTAGGTAAAAGATGAAACAAATTTAAAATATACATAAATATAAATACAATCATTAAAAGACAAAAATATAAATGTTTATTTATAGTTCCGGAAAATCACTAAGAATGACTAAAAATTGCTCTAAAAAAAGTGTTTTCAGTTTTTAAAATTACTTAATTTTCATGTGGTAAAGTAACATGGTATCCTAATTTTTGTAAGCAAATCTATTTTTTGAATGAATTTTCAGCTGGATTCTGTATTGCATATTAACATAATACTTTAACAGTTTATGCTATAAAAATTCAGAACAGAAATGTCCATTTTTAATAAGACTTTAATAAAAAATAAGACTTTATAAGACTTTTTTTTTGTCTGTGGAAGCCTGTTTCTGTTACACAATATAAAAATAGAGAAGGTAACTATGACTTTTTATCTCATTATTCTGAGATTATATCTCACAATTCAGACTTTTTGGGAATTACAAGATATAAACTCGCAATTGTGAGAGGAAAAGTTTGAATTGTGATATAAACTTAGACAGAATTTTAAGATAAAAAGTCGTAATTAACTTTTTTATTTATTTTTTTTGTGGCAGATAAAAAATTGTGAGATGTAAACTCAAAATTGTAAGAAAAACGTCAGAATTGTTTATTTATTTTATTTATTTAGTCATTTAGCAGACGCTTTTATCCAA